TGACTGGCGTGCTCCGTCTCGAGCCGCGATGCACCGCCACGGACGAAGAGGTTAGGTGGAGGGGACATGTCGGGACACCGAGGACGACGCCTCCACCCCGAATCGGTGCGACAGAGACGCGGATAGACGCGCGGACGACTCCGATTGGGCGTGGTAGAGTCCCTAGGCTCGTCTTCGGATACCGACAGCGGGTGCGATCCTCGCGGACGCCATCTTGCATCGGTCTGCTGCGCGGCAAATTTGAACGCGCTTTTTGGAACTCTGAACATATTCAACGTAGTAGAATTTGATCTTTTGATTTCGTCTCTATTAATTTCGAATAAACAGAATTTTATTTTTATTCACATCAAACTCTATTGAAAAGATTATTTTCTTGTGTAATTGCTGTAATCAGATGGCAAAATGTGATATGTCCAATTTTCATGAAACGACAATTAAAAATGAATAATCTTCTCAGTAAGTAATTTCTACGTATTGATTAACCAACGATAAGTGAATCTTCTCTACGTAACAGGATAATCAAAATAATTATAAAATAATCTGTCTTCACTGCATTATAAACGCTATTATCATTATTCACGATAAAAATTGAGTACAATAAGCGATGACTTCATAACTCGAGATGAAGCTCGAACAATAATCAACGAAAAATAGCAAAAATTCCATCGCTATTTCAGACGCGTGTTGGTCGGTAAAGCGATTTCTCGCGGAAACCAGCGAGTCATCGCAATTTCCTTGGCGCGCTGCTCGCACCGCGGCGCCTTTTCAGAGACGGTTTGCTCGATAGATTCATGCAGAAACGAGGCACGCTTCGAAAAAGAAGGAACAAAACCTGACTGGTAATACGTTCGAGTTAATGCTTCCCGTTGAAATCTCCGACGTGCGATGACGGGGCGTCCAAGTGTTGCATTTTTCACGCCTTCACAGACCAACTCTAATTTCGATTCTTCCATGGACCACGCTGAAATTACCCCCTTCTCAAGGCCAGTCTAGAGAAAAGAAAGAAAGAAAAAAAGAAGAAGCAGGAGGGACGAGTCGAGTGCAACAATGTATCTGGAGTATCAATCATGTATGTCATTAATGGTTGCGGTTGCGGTTAGAAGGCATCGAGAACTATAATTCAGCTGGGCGAGCGTGTATCCGCGATACTACGGCGCATTACGCGCAGCAACACGATTTATGGTGTCCATTGTCGTGCTACAGAGAAAAAAATCGATCCATTTTTGCAACAACTCGATCCAATCGATCCCACTGCAATTTTGTAATTTATCATTGAGGCAAGAAAATTCCTTCGAAACGAGCCCTTTGAAGGTTAGTAACAAAGCAAAGGGAAAATGGAAATATATTTTTATTGACGTACTGAAAAGTTTAGGTTAGGTTAGGTTAGGTAGTAATTAGTTATTACATAGAGAAGAATAAAACACGATAAATTAGAAGAGAGATTAGTCTGTTAACTGTGTTCATCCCTTAAATAAAGATTGAATCACTCTGATTAACGAATAGAATTTTATTAATAGAAAAATTTCGAACGTGAATTCGAAAACCTCTTCGGTTTTGCGTCGTTCAGTAACGTCGAGTCAGGAGAACTCGATACGTGGTTAATCGTTTCCCAATACAACTTGTGCAACTTTTCAGCGTTTACTGGAAATTTAGACTCGTTTCGGTCGAGTATTATTATAGTCGTTTTGCTATAGTCTGAACGACAGGCTTTATCTGTCGCAAAAACTCTTCGAACTTGTAACAGTGCGCCTTTTGAAAGTTTTCTCTCTCACCTTTTTTTCTCTTGCATTACACAATTTTTAACAAGCACATACAGGGTGTCTAATAAATCCTAGTACAACTGTAATTTCATTTTCAAAGTCAGTTTTCTCAGAAACTACGAAACAAGCAACCGAAAAACTTTATTTCACATTTTTTATTATCATTTCTTGATCGATTTCACTACGATTTATCGAACACTCCGTATATCGAAGTACTTAGTGTTAGAAAAGATTACAAAACAATCTTTCCAATTTAGCTAAACATATATGTATTGATAAAAAAAATTAATGAAAAGGTTAATCCTGGAAAGTTGCGAAGTGTATGCATGTAAAATCGAGGAAATTCAGTGATCTTTTAACTCAGAATCTAATCAAAAGATAGTTAACGGAAGTTTGCAGAAGTTCGCCCGAGATGAAACTTTGAGATTAAAGCCGGTGAATTCTTGTCGAAACACGCGGTGTTTCAAAGCTTAATTTTCGCGTGGTGAAATTTCGTTCGGTCTGCTCTCTCCCTCCCGCCCAACCCTCTGCGTTACCCCTTTTGAGGATGGTGGCTCATATCGGAAGTATGTCAAGAATTTAGCCGTGGGCCGTTTTCACTAATAGCTTACGATAATTGCTCAGCCGTGTTCGCCGTGGTTACGCCACGAAACGAACCGTGTCAAAAGCGGCCTGTTACTCGAATTATACGATTTTTTGCGACTGTGACGCCAGTGAGGTCATGATCAAGTGGAGAACGGCGAAAAAATCGAGGCAAGTTTCTTCCTCCGCGTATTTCACGCTCTCTTTCGACGCGAAATTTTGCGAATGTACATACGTTTCACGAATGTATTTCTGACGATTTACCAAGCGATTCACGATGAACATTAGTGAAAACAAAAATTCCCTTTTTTCTTATTAATTGAAATAAAAAATGAAGTTTGGAAAAATACTTAGAAGAAATTTAATCGATCCTTTCTAAAAATTCCTTACTTTCCTGTGAAATTTGTGAATAATTTTGATCAATTATTCAGTTTAGCTTCTTATATTTCATGTTTGTATACTGCTTCAACGAAATCCTATTACATATATACGTCTATACGCCTTTTTTTTCGTTTTAGAAGCTCTGTTTTCTAAGTATGTAGTTGGGGGATCGTTAAATCGGCTCGTGTACGATTTCCAAGTGGATTTTTCGGTCGTGGCGTATAAACGATCGGACCAACGAACGATTGTGCAACGACGAACGATACGCGACCGGTGTATCGAGTAACGAGACCCCCCCCCCCCCAGCCACAGAGGCTTTCTAAGCTGCGGATCTTTTTCTCCCCAGATCGAATTGCCTCTTGGTTCGCGCCCAAGACCCACAACGCACGAGTTCATGTGGAATTTCTCGTGGACACACGTTTCTGTAAACCCTTATCGATATCGGACTAGAAAATCAATCGACTCTTTTTCAGAGTGTCGGAAATTCTAGTAGGATTTATTCAGAGAGCGTAGGCGTTGGGGTAAAAATGATTTCTGTGTGAAAGATTTGGGAATTCAAAAATTTGAAAGTTTGAAATTTTGAAAATTTTGATGTGCGAAAGATTGAAAATACGGAAGATTGAATATTCGAAGGTTTGAATATTCGAGAGTTTGAAAATTCGAAAGATTGAAAATTCGAAAGATTGAAAATTCGGAAGATAGGAAATTCAAAAGATTGAAAATTCGAAAGATTAAAAATTCGAAAGATAGAAAATTCGAAAGATAGAAAATTCGAATGATTGAAAATTCGCAAGATTGAAAATTCGAAAGATTGAAAATTCGGAAGATTGAAAATTCGGAAGATTGAGTATTCGAAGGTTTGTATATTCGAGGGTTTGAAAATTCGAAAGATTGAAAATTCGGAAGATAGGAAATTTGAAAGATTGAAAATGCGAAAGATTGAAAATTCGGAAGATTGAAAATTCCAAAGATAGAAAATTCGAAAGATTGGAAATTCGGAAGATTGAAAATTCGGAAGATTGAGTATTCGAAGGTTTGTATATTCGAGGGTTTGAAAATTCGAAAGATTGGAAATTCGAAAGTTTGAAAATTCGAAGGTTTGGAAATTCGAAAGTTTGAAATATAGATCACACTAGAACTCCAATCAAAAATTCCCCAAAAGAAACCAAAGAAACCCAAATCGGTACTTTCGCCCTTGATGAAGTGTAGGCCATCCACTTCCTCGGAACGAAACCCAGTAAAAGAGATCCACCTCGAAGAACCAGAAACCGATAACGAAACACACTTTTCCAACGATTCTCCAAGTGATAATCCATCGATGGAATGCAAAGAATTTTACAGTAAACGACGGGACTCGTTCGAAACTCCGCCATTACGGTTCCTGGTGAGGATTACGCTTGTAGATTGGTTCGAGATACACTTTTCTACATTTCTGTCCCGGGGGCTTGTTGTTAATGGTTCGTATTAATGGAAAGGTGGAAAAGTTGGAAAGAATGTTGGAAGTTTTTCCATTTTCTTAACGGTGGGAGTTCAGGTGAAGGGATTTCATAGAAGTAGGGGTGGGATTTTAATATCCAATTTAAATTGTCTTTGAAATTTATCTGTAGTGTTAAGAACTCCAAATCTCTTTTATTAAATAGAATCTTTTTAACAAAATTTTTACTGAATTCTGTCATTCCTTAATCCATTTATTTTACGTGACAAATTTATCAAGACACAAAATCAAACAGATGAAAAATTGCAAATAATTTATTCCTTATAAATAATCAAAAGACTGTATGAAAAATGAAAAGACGTGTTACAAAGAAATTAATAATTAAATATGAGAATATAAGTAACGTTTCCATTTTTAATTCAATCTCATTTTATCACCACATACATTATAACCTAAAAAAAAAATTAATAAACCGATATAACAAAAAGTGCAACGTTAGCGTATCGGTGGAGGATCGTCGATAATCCTGGAGAGATGAAAAAAGTTCAGAGAAAAGAACGGTGCAAGGTCAGAAGATGGAAGAGGATCGCCAGCTATCGGGTGGCCATTGAAAACCGGAAATCTGGTAATCTGATGGCGGGCGTTGTGCATAGTTATCGGATGATCCGACGGCGGACATGGATTTACAGAGCGAAAAGAAATAGGAAGGGAGGCTAGAAAAAGCGATCTGCCATGTGAGGCCTGTGTGTTTCACGCTGCG